ACTATTACTACTACTACTACTGCTACTACTACTACTACTACTACTACTATTACTACTACTACTACTACTATTACTACTACTACTACTACTACTACTACTACTACTACTACTACTACTACTACTACTACTACTACTACTACTACCAACTACTACGACTACGACTACGACTACGACTACGACTACTACTACTACTACTACTGCTACTACTACAACTACTACTACTACTATGTTGCTACAACTACAACTACTACTACTACTACTACATACAACAACTACTACTACTAACAAAGACAAACACAACGATTACAACTACTACTAACAACCACATAATACTACTACTGCCATAGCTGCTACTACAGCTGCTGCGCTAGTACTTAACTACTACGTACGACTACTACTACTACTACTACTACTACGACTACTACGCTACTACGACTACGACTAACAACAACACAACTACAACTACTACAACTACTACTACTACTAACACTACTACTACTACTACTCACTTACGACTAACTACACAACTACTACTACTACAAACAACTACTACTACACTACTACTACTACTACTACTACTACTACTACTATTACTACTACTACTACTACTACTACTACTACTACTACTACTACTACTACTACTACTACTACTACTACTACTACTACTACTACTACTACTACTACTACTACTACTACTACTACTACTACTACTACTACTACTACTACTACTACTACTACTACTACTACTACTACTACTACTACTAATACTACTACGACTACTACTAGTACTACTACTACTACTACTACTACTACTACTACTACTACTAGTATTACTACTAATAATAACAATAATGCCACCACTCCGCCTCCTCCTTCTCCTCTTTTCCTCCTCCTCCTCCTACATATCCTCCTCCTCCTCCCCCTCCTCCTCCTAATTCGCCTCTGATGCCTCCTCCTTTTCCTCCTCCTCCTCCTCCCCCTTCTTGTTCTTCTTCTTATGATTATTATGTGTGTTATTATTCTTCTTGTTATGAGTAATATCATTTGTCTTATATTATTCCTATGTTCATTAGTAGTAGCAGTAGTAGTAGTAGTATTCGTCTTCTTCTTTATTTGTCTTCTTCTCAGTAATATCATTAGTATTATTTACCGTCTTCTTATTACGATTCGTATTATTAGTCTTACTTCTCAGTATTATCACTATTACTGTTAGTATGGTTATCATTGTGGTATAAGCAGTACTCTTCTTCTTAGTAGTATTCGTATTACACTTATTCGTTGTATTCATAGTATTCATTTTACCCGTATTCTTCGCATTCTTGTACGTATAATTACTCGTCGCATTACTATTCCTAGTATTCATATTATTATCAGTTACATTGTTTGTAATATTAGTATTACTATTGTTAATATCAGTAGTATCACAAGCTTTATTCTTATTAATATTAGTTTTCGTCTTGTTATGTTGCTTATCATTACTGTTCCTCCTCCTGCTCCTCCTCCTGCTCTTCCTCCTCCTCCTACTCCTCCTCCTCCTCCTCCTCCTCTTCCTCCTCCTTTTCCTCCTCCTCCTCCTCCTCGTCCTCCTCCCCGTCCTCCTCCTCCTCCTCCTCCTCCTCCTGTCCTCCTCCTCCTCCTCCTCTCCTCCTCCTCCTCCTCTCCTCCTCCTCCTCCTCCTCCCCCTCCTCCTCCTCCTCCTCCTCCTCCTCCTCCTCTCCTCCTCCTCCTCCTCCTCCTCCTCCTCCTCCTCCTCCTCCTCCTCCTCCTCCTCCTCCTCCTCCTCCTTCCTCCTCCTCCTCCTCCTCCTCCTCCTCCTTCTCCTCCTCCTCCTTCTTTTCCTCCTCCTCCTCCTCTTCTTCCTTCTCCTCCTCTTCCTTCTCCTCCTCCTCCTCCTCCTCCTCCCCATCCTGTTCCTTAATCGCGTTCCTCAAATTACTCCTCCGCCTCCGGACCCCTACCCCGCCGCCGCTCCCCCCCCAAGGGCCCTGTCCAGGCCCCGTCGGAAACAAACCAGCGCACGGCACACGGGGTGGAGGGAATAATGAAAAGATGGGTTCGACGACAGCGAGGAGAACGACTAGGAGGACGACCAAGACAAGGGACAGTGGGCGGACACGAAGGGCAGATGGGGGAGGGGGTGGGTTGCGCACCAGCAGGAGGCGGAAAAGATCAACGGGCAAGACGGAGGAGGAAGAGGAGGCGGAGCAGGACGACGACGACTGGAAGGACGCAGAGCGGGAGCAGCAGTGGGGTCGAGACTTCGGCGCTCGTTGTGGCCTGCCGTTGTATCGCGCCACCCTGCCGCCACTGGCCGTACGGCCCACGGCTCTCAGGAGCGACCAACGCCACGCGACCGCATCTGCTCAGACGATCCAGCGGCCAGCAGAGCGAATTGCTGCGTGCGCGACGGGGTTCGAAGCCTCAACACGTATTTGATTGATTTCGTTCGAGCTGTGTTTCAGTGTTGGTGTTGTGGGCGCCCCGCATTCGTCCGCCGATATACAGAGACAGCCTCGCCTTCGTCGCGAGAGCCTGCTTCAGTGCTTGATTTGCCCTGTACGGAAGTTGGGCCAAGGCGAGGGGGAATGCGGCAAGCTAGGTGCGATCACGCCATATCTGACATCCTACCCATCCCACCCATCCATTATGATTGCGCTGCGCGTGTCACAGCGGACCTGGGACCCCAAAAAGGACCCACTCGTGTTATGCGCACTCGGAAAGAAAAAGGATCTGCCTACATCGGAGGAGAATGTGGCGGATGAACAGAAGGATGAGCACGAAGAAATGGAGGAGGATGGGGAAGAAGGATGATAGGACGGACGGCAGCAGCAGGAGCTGGAGTGGAAGGAGCGGGAGGAGCAGGAGGACCAGGTGACTGCGGAGAAGGGGGGGAAACGAGGGGGGCGACAACGGGGGCGAGAGCGCCATCCTGAACGACGGGAGCAAAGCGCCGATCCGAAAACAAGGCCCACGTACAATTATGAAACACCGAAAACGTTTGAAACCCGGTGCAAGGAAAGGGGGGGGGAGAGAAAAAAAAATAAAAATAAAAAAAAACGCTGAGAAGGCCGAACATCTACCAGACAGAGTCATTAGAGAGAGAGGAGAGAATAGTACTCATCATGTGTAGCTGTAAAAGGAGGCTAAGACTTGGACAAAAATAGCCCCGAGGGGGGGGACTTGCAGGTCACAAAACGGAAACGGGGGGAGTTGCCAATCAGACGGGAACATCTTGGCCAACAGCCCCCTCCCAGGACCTACACACCCAATAACGCCCGTCATCGCCGCCGAAGGGAAACAAACAACAAAACAAATCCGCCGACCCCTTGGGGTCATCGGCGTGTGAGATGCTTCCCCCTCCCCAAACCCCTCCCCCCGGGGCCCAGTCCTGCCGGTCTGGAGGGGGGGGGTCCGGCCGGCCCTGGCTGAACGCGTCACGGGCCTCAGGACGGGCCATGAGGGCCCCAAGAAACCTACAGGATGGTCCAAGAGGGCCCCGAGTCGCCGATGGATCATTCCAAAACGCCTAACATGGCCCCCGGACGGCACAAGAGGTCCCCGAGACGCCCCAAGAGTCCCAAGAGGGCCCCCAGAAACAATAATCGTCCCATTACTTTTTGGGGAAATGTACGATTTTAGCACAATCGCCTCTTTTTTTTCAACCCTCCCCAGTCGAAGTGTTCAGGCCGACGTTAATCGGAGTTCGGCGGGCCACCAGGCGACGTCTTACGCGGACCACCAGGGGACCTCGCCATCTTTTGGGGGGCGATCCACGGAACTGTCGCTATTCGCTTGGGTTGCCGGGGGGTGCAGCGGAGTGACGTATCACGCGTAACACCTGGAGACCTCGCCATCCCTGGGGCCCAGCGGAGTGGCGCCTTCTGCCTGTTACCTGGCGGTTGTTTCGAGTTCTCGGGTCGTCAGGAGAAGCAGAAAAAGCTGGCGGCGAGCTGGGTTCGCCCCTTTTTGCACCAGGTACAAAGAGATTCAATCATTGTCTCGAGCGCCGCGGCGACATGGCGCAGGCAGCGCTGCATCTGTACCGTACTACTGACAAACCAACAGTCTTCGGTTTCCTCCCGTCACTTGCGCCGTCGTCCTCTGCACCTTGCCACCATCCCTTTGCTGCTGCCGCGCTGACGGTTCGGCCCCCACGCGCCCTTTTCCTGCCCCTCGTTCCCGCCCCCACGTCCTCGTCAAGCCTGGGACATCGTTCCTCGTCCTTTTGCTGTTGCCCTGTGAATCGTGCCACGTGGGCGCATCCCGTGTAGCCTGCACAAGGTATAGCGGCGCCCGCACTGTCATTGTCCTGGCAACTTTGGGCCAGCTACGCCACAGCGAAATGATTCCCAACCCTCCTACGCTGGGTTCTCGATTCAAATAAAGCACTGCTTGCTCCGTCCTTTTCTCGCCTTCCCTCCTCATCTCTTCCCTCCACCGTTCATCTTTAAATGATCAGATTGCCTCGTGTGCTCGCATTCGAGCCGCAGCGAAGCTGTTCTTGAACCCATGCCAAGCGGAACGCGTGCACCATGACACGCGGGGAGTGACAGCACGTGCTCAGTGGCGACGAGGAGGACGAGGAAGAGGAGGACGAGAAGCGGCACCAGCAAAGGGGTCGCACCCTTGGGCGCACGCCGTGGTTTCCCCTATCGGTGATCGGCGTGGCGGCCAGCGCAGCGGATTACTTGAGCGCGCAGGTCGGGGCTCAGAGCCGTGTCGCCCCCGCCTTCTGGCATTGGAAACCTACTGTGGTGGCGCTCAGGGCCCTGCGCGCTCCCCCATCACATTCCTCCCGATCCTCATCCTCCTCCTCCTCCTCCTCCTCCTCCTCCTCCTCCTCCTCCTCTTCCTCCT